TCCCATTGACTGCCAAGCTCAAGTAGGAAGCTCTCATTGACCCCCAAGCTCAACTGGGATGCACCCGTTGACTCCAAGCTCAACTAGGACGCTCCCATTGACTACTAAGCTCAACTAGACGCTCCCAATGACCCCCAAACTCAACTAGGAAGCTCTCATTGACTCCAAACTCAACTAGGATGCTCCCATTGACTGCCAAACTCAGGTAGGAAGCTCTTATTGACCCCCCCAAGCTCAACTGAGATGCCCACGTTGACTCCAAGCTCAACTAGGATGCACCCATTGACTCCAAGCTCAACTAGGATGCACCCAATGACTCCAAGCTCAAGTAGGATGCTCCCATTGACTTTCAAGCTCAACTAGGATGCTCCCATTGACCCTCCAAGCTTAACTAGGAAGCTCTCATTGACACCACCACCCCCAGCTCAACTGGGATGCCCACGTTGACTCCAGGCTCAACTAGGATACACCCAATGACTCCAAGCTCAACTAGGATGCTCCCATTGACCCCCAAGCTCAACCAGAAAGCTCTCTCCCATTGACCCCAAGGTTTTACCGCTCAGCTAGAAACTCCACTTACAACATTGGGACGCTTAACAATGTTGGCTAGTTTGGTGTGGCTGAATTCCAGGCTGATCATGTTGTACAGCTTCTCACGCTCTGCCTCGGGGGTTTCGTAGTAGCGCACAAATTGAGCCATGCTCATTTCAATGCCTTTTTGGGTATTCACATCCACTACATCCACAATTCGGCGGCTCCCTGGGAGAGTTTGGAAAAGGTGAGAAAATACAGCAGAGGTTTTTATTCCTAATAAAGACGTTTAAAATAAACATGAGAAAATTCCAACTACGGTGGGAATCAGAGCTACTCAAACTGGCTGATATTTCTGGTTATCTAGAACATCCCACAGGTTAACCCAGGATAAGTTTGATAATTGGTTATTATACTGGCTTTAACATTGGAATAACAGCAAGATTCCCTATTCAAATTTAACTTTTAATCAGTATTTTCCCCTAAACAAGAAGGAAGCAGACACAGAGAGACTTCAACTACCAAAATTTCCACCAATTTTCAATTCTCAGACATGGCTCAATTCTGCAAAATACAGAATTGGGTGCAACTGCAGCCTGCAACCTCGGTTATGTATTTTTAGTTTAGCCTTTCCCTTGCCTAGTTTATGCATAATACCCTGTTCATTCTTTTATGTAAAAAAAAAACCAAAAACACCTCAAATCAGAACATCATTTCTGCATTATGGAAAGAGGCATAGAAACTTACCCACGAGCATCTTAGCGTCTTGGACAGTAAAGCTGGGATCCGGCATCCTGAAATGATCAAAGGCGGAAGGATTAAAATCGAATGCAAAACAAGAGAGTCGCCATCACAACGACAACAGACTCTGCCCCCCGGTTAAGCAGCAGTCACCAGGACAGAATTTAAAAACCTCACTCGTTTGCAAACTGTAGTCCTTGGGAATAACTCCTCCGAATTTGGAGGATTCCCTTCTGCCTGTAAAGCTGGCAGCCACCATCTTATCGATCTTCCCCTCCTTTTTTCCTTCCTTCTTCAAAAAATCCCTTTTATGCTAAAGCGATGAATTCACAAGGCACTCCATTACCACGAGCATCCAAACTTCCTTCGGCTTTTTTGACCCCCCTCAGTGCCATTTTTTTTTTTCAATAGTTGATGGACGGATGGGCCTATTTGATACGGACGGGACCGTTCTCCTTATCACAGCTTTGACCTAAAGGCCAACCTCAGTGTTCCTATAGGACAATTTGAAGATACAAAAAGGATCAGAGATCTTGAATTATCCCAAGGATCATCTTTAGAAGGACAGGGGTGGGGGGTTTTTTTTTATTTTGTTTTTATTTTGCTTTGCATAGCTATCCAGGAGTTCAGTACCAGTTCCGTTCAGAGAATTAGAAGTTTTCAAAGGTCCCCAATTCCTAGCCAGACTGCAAACCTCAAGGTAGCCCTTTCTCTTCGTAGGAAGAATAAAAGTCACCTATGTGTGACTTGGGGAGCTGTATAATAAACAATAATGTATGTTTTCTTCTGTAGCATTTTTCCTCAAGTTAAGAGAAAGGGGCTTTGCCACAGTTGAAAACCTACCACGCCTATCATTTATCCTATTATTTATCTCAGCTTGGTTATAAGACCAGATAAAACAGGAATTTCCAACTTGGGCAACTTTTAGGCCTGGAGGACTTCAACTCCCAGAATTCCCCAGCAACTCCCAGAATCCCCCAGCAAAGCTGGCTGGGGAATTCTGGGAGTTGGAAGTCCTCCAGGCTTAAAAGTTGCCCAGGTTGGAGACCCCATAAAAGACGCAGGATGATATAGATTAAGAGTAGAGTGGTCTTACTTAATTCCCAGTCCAGCCTTACTTCGGAAGATGAGAGGGACCTTTAGCGCTTCCTGCTGCACGTATTCAAAAGTGAAATCTGTGGAAGGAAAAAAATAAGGCAGAGAAGGTCAGAAACAGATCAGTTGTAAGATTTCAGCCCTTAAAACAAAAAAGAGAGAGAGAACGCTTGGCAAATATAGGTAGCCTTTGACTTACGATCATATTCAGGCTCATCAAAATTTCCATTGCTAAGCAAGGCGGTTTTTAAGGGCGTTGCGCACCCGATTGTCTCAGCTTTTCACCACGGCTGCTAAGCGGAGCCGTTGTTAAATGAATCAAGCAGCCGTTAAGCCAATCCCAGCTTTCCCATCGACTTCGCTGCTGGGAAGATCACAATTGACAATCACGTGACCCCCCGGGTGTGAATTTTGACCACCTGACCGTGGGAAATGGTGCAACTGTCATTAAGTGTGAGAAGTGGTCTGGTGTATGTTACCTTTTGGGGCGGCTTGCAGCTTTGAACAGCCCCTGAACAAATGGTTGTTAAGTCAAGGACTATCCGTGGAAGAAATCAACATTTGTTAAGAGAAGGTGTTGAGTGGTAGCCATAATGTTCTTTGTTTTTAGCTTAGCAAGTTTGAACTTGGGACACCAAGTTTAGTTTTGCAAAGCAAAATTCTTCTAACCTCCTTCCTCATCCTTTGTCCTTCAGCCGAGTTAACAAAATGATACGTGTACGGTTTAAAAACAGGGGTTTTTTTTAGCGCTGGTTCTGTAATTTTATATTTCTTTCCAGCTCCGTTTTGAGAATTGTATTCATGTATCACGTTGTATCCTCTGTGCCTCTGGTTTTTCTTCTTCACAAAAACCCTGCAAGGTAGGCTAGGATGCTACCAGCAAAGGGGACAGATTCGAGATTAACCATCAAAGTTTCCTCTCAAGAAGACTTGAGTTCAAGATGCCAATAAGCTCTTGACCGTCTCTCCCTGAATTACATTTTAATCGGCAATGAATCGCTCGAAAGTTAAATGAAGTTACAATCGATGGAAACCCAAGTTAAACGTTTTAAAAGGCTGACTTTTTTTCAGAAAAAAAAAAAAACACTCCCCCAAATCCTAAGAAAATTCAGCAGGGAGCTAGACCGGATAAACGAACTGAGGACTATTTTCTGGAGAAATATACTTAAAATGCCCATTGAAAAATAGTTTCTATAAGCTAAGAGACCCCAGAGAACAAATTAACCAGCCAGTTCTAGCTTCTCCAGTTATTTGGCACTACAACTCCCATCATTTCCAGCCAGGCTCAAGGCTAAAGCCCACCCTCCCCAGCTGGGCCCAAGCCAGCCCATCTGGAACCTCCGCCCTCCGAAACCTTAAGGAGAGCATTAAAAGCCACCAGAACCCAGACTACAAAGCCCATCACTCTCCCTGGGTGACACTTAACCCTCAAGTCTGAGGAAAAATATTCCAGGCCACGAAGTCCTCAGCGCTTTCTGAGGTGGGTACTTGAAAGGGGGGGGGGTGTTTCGCCAATTTTGTCTTTTGCCCAGAGACCCTCACTCTCTCCCCTCAAGGGCTCAGACCTGAGGGGGATCCCCTTTTGGGGTTGGGGGGGGGCAGCAGTGGGGGAAAGTCAGGGTCAAGGGGAAGGTGGGCATCCAGACGACCCCCCAAGAGGAGGATTTTTAAAAAGGGGGGAAGCTCAGGGCCCAAGTGAGGAGGGGGCTGCTGGGGGGGAGAGCCACTCCGCCTTCCTGGCCTAGGAGCCCGCCTCAGCCACTTCCCCGGCCAGCCACGGTGGCGCCACCGGATCCCCCGGCCCGGGGGTGGGTGGCGGGAAATACGAAGCCGGCCCGGGCTGCACGTGGGGAAGGGGTGTGTGTGTGTGTGTGTGTGTGTGTGTGTGTGTGTGTGTGTGGCGGCCTCTGCGCTCACCTTGCCCGTCCATGGGCCGCACGAAGTCCCCGCGGTAACTGCGGCTCCTCAGCTTCTCGTCCAGGTTGAAGCCGCGCACGCTGACAATCTCCTCCACGTCGGACAGGTCCTCGTTCTCGTCGTAGAGCCGCCGGCCGATGCAGCGCTGCACGGGAAGGGCAGACAAGGCCAGGGGCGCGTCGCTGGGGGAGCCCAGGAAGGGGCCCGCGGGCGCCCCGCTGGGGAAGGGAAGGAGGGAGGGGGGAAGCCCCGCGCGGCCGTGGGAAAGGGGGGCACCGCCATTCCTGCCCCCTCCTCCCCACTCTTTGCAGTGGGGTAGGTTGCTCTCCCTTTGCGACCCCAAACCCCTGTCTTGCGGGGGGGGGGGGCGGGCGTGTGAAGGCGGGCCCAGCTTTGACTCGGATGTTTCTTGACTCGGGGAAGAAGGGGGGGGGAACACACCAAGTCCACTTATTGCACACTACCCTGGCATGGTGGGCTTCTTGCATTGGGGCCCGGGAGGATCCTCTGCCCCCACCCCCCCCACCCGCTTCCCTTAGCAACGCAGGCTCGCCCCAAACATACGCCGGGGGCGACTCAAAAGCAGCCCAAACAGCCCTTTGCACGTAGGAAGCCGCGCAGGCTGCCCGAGTCATACCGGAAGCCGGCCTTTTAGGAAAGCTCAAGGCGGTTATGTAACACGGGGAGGGGGGGGGGGCCCCGCCCGCAGTGCCCCCCCCCCAAAAAGCAACACCACCACCCCGGGGTCCCCTTTCCCTTACACCCCCCGTCCCCAAACGCTCGGTCGTTGCTATCCAAGCCGGGCTGGGCTTCCCCCAGTTCCCGAACGCGGAAGTTTTGGGGGGGGGTGAGAAGGGGGGGGTCTTTTCTGCCTACCGGGACCGACCTGAGGATGGGAAGAGTGGGGGCGGGGGGTGGGGGTGGGGAAAGAAGGGGGGTTAGGAAAGAGTTAAGCCTGCTCGCCCCCCCAAAGCGGCAAGAGGCGAGGCCCAGATTCTTCTTTGCCCCCCCCACCCAACCCCCCCAAAACAAGGCGGAAAAAGCATCGCCTGCGAGGACGCGACTTGCGCGCCCCTCCGCCGTTTAGGATCGGGCTTTGCTCCGGCGCAGCGGCAGGAGGGGAGAAGAGGGAGGGGGATCCACGCACGAGCCTCCCCTCCCCTCCCTCCCTCTCTCTCTCCCCCCCTTCCCACCCACCCACCCCAGCCCAGCCGGTAGCAAACCCCAGGATCTCCCCGCGGCTGGTTTAAATGCCCAGCCGGCGCGCAGGGCAGCCCCACATCTCGCCCACCCCCCACTCCCTCCAAACGGGGGAACGGGGGGGGGCCCTTTCCCCCCCCGGATCCCCCCCCCCCCCCCCTCCCTCTCTCCCTCCCTCCCCCAAGCGCCCCAGCCGGGCCGAGAAAGTACACACCAGCCTCCTGGGCGAGCCTCTTTCTGCCTCCATGATCTGGGCACTCTCATCTCTTCGAGAGAGTCAACAGTTCCTCCTTTGGGTCCTGCTTGCCGAGGTCGGAGGGGCGGGAGGGGGGGGGGGGGCCCGCCGGGGGGGGGCCCCAAACCGGGGGGGGGGGGGGGGGGGGGGGGGGCGGGAAGGAGAGAGAGGGAGAGAGAGAGAGAGAGAGAGAGGAACCCCCCCGGAAAATTCCCCCTTCCTCCTCCTCCCCCCCTCCTCCTCTTCCTCCCTCCCTCCCCTCCAATTTAGAGGCTTCCCAAATAATCCAATTCCCGACCGAAAAAGCCGCCGGTCGCCCCCCCGCGAGGGTTGCAAAAGGCCATCCGGGTCTCTCTCTCTCTCTCTCTCTCTCTCTCTAAAGTTTTGCTCTCCCCCCCCCCCCCCCGCAATGGGCCCGTTTTTTTTGGGGGGGGGGGGGGGGCGTGTGAAGGCCAGGGAGGGAGAGGGGGGGCCCCAAGCAGCTCCGAAAGCAAAGGATCGCTCAGCGGGGGTGGGGGGAAGAGGAGGAGGAGGAGGAGGAGGGGAAGGGGTGGCCGAGGCTTTATTTGTGTGTGTGCGTGTGTGTGTGTGTGTTTTCTGCTTTTTTGTAGTGGTTTGTTTGTTCCTTTTGCTTTTGGCTTCCCCCTCCCCCCGGGCGTGGGGGGGGGGGGGGGGGGGCCTGGGTGGTTCTTATGCAAAAAAAAAAAGTCCCGCAAAGAATCCTTTTTATTATGATTTTCTTTTCCCCTCTCCCAACCTTTCGGCGTGCAAAGGAGGGCGGGGGAGGAAGGAGAAAGGGGGGGCGGCCAAAGGAGGGGAGGGGGGGGGGGCGCGGGGGCGTCACGGGAAGCCCCGGGAGAGGGGGGGGGGGGGGGGGGGGGGGGGGGGGAAGAACCCACCGGGGCCTCTCTGGATGGGAGGGAGGGAGAGAGAAGGGAAAGCCCGGATCTGGGCGCTCAGGATCGCTGCCTCCTCCTCCTCGGGGGGCGCACGCAGGCTGGGAAAGCGCGCGAGGGGATCGCCGGGCGGGGGGGGGGGGGGGGGGGGGGGGGGGGGGGGGGAAGGATGGCTGGTGGAAGGAACGTCCGGGTCTTCTTTGCAGCTCGGCTTCGCCTTGGCCCGCGTGGAGTGGGGAGGGGGCTGATATGGGGCGGGGGGGGGGGGGGGGGGGGGGGGGGGGGGGGGGGCCCCGGCGGGCCGCGGGAGGGGGAAGCCGGGGGCGGGGCGGGGCGGGGGGGTGAAGGCAAACGTCGCCGCCTCTTCCTGGGTTGGCGATCCTCGCCCTCCTCCTCCTCCTGCCCGCAGCCAGTTGCAGACGCGGAAAGGGGCCAAACGCACGTGGGAACGCTTGGCCCACCCGAGTTGGGACCTGCATCTGCGGGGGGCGTGGGGGGGGAGGCGTGATGCGGTCGGGGAGGGGGGAGGGCAATGGAGCGCGGCAAGCTCGGAGTCCGTGTCGTCGTCCCGTCCCGTCCCCGGGTGTTCAGAAGCGCGGGTGGGACGGCTTTCGCCCCCCCCCTCCCCGGCTCCCTCTGTGGGTTTTGCGTGGGCGGAGAGGACCCCGCGGGGCTGGGAAGCCGCTTTCGCCACGGGAGAACGGGGCATCCTCGGCCGAGCCGGACGGAGCCAAAGCTGGATTGGGAAGGGAGAGCTTCCCCAGCGTGTGGATCGGGGGTGGGTGGGTGGGTGTCCCACGGACGTTCCCCCCACCCGAGTGGCTCTGAAACCTACCCTGGAGACCCCCCCCCCCGTTCCCTGGATTTCACGCCCCTCTGCCCAAACCTTTGCCTTCCTTCCTTCGCCCTCGTTAAAAGAAGGAGGTGGACATCAAAATATGTCAGAATATAATAGTCATAACCCTCATAATCACCCCCCCCCAGGGGATGGAGACCAGGGTTGGTTGGTTGGAACAGACAAAACCCGAGCTGTGGGAGATCCCTTCCCATATAAACCACGATTTCCAGCTTGGCCCAAACTAAGTTGCATCGGGCCCGCCACAAAGTTCACACCGAGGAAACCTTGTCTCCCCCCCCCCCCCCCGGTTACTCTCTCGGGAGGTTGTCTTCTTCTACCGATAAAGATGGGCAGCTCCAGGGATGGACTTGTGGGGGGGGGGTCCTCGGTTCTGTCTGAGCTTGGGGGGGGGGGGTCTCCCATGCAGACGTTTCGTGGCCTCGTCAGGGTCGGTGGGGAGTTTTCCACCTCTTAGCACGGCTGATGTTACCCAGTTGGGCCGTGAAACGTCTGCAAGGAAACCCCCGAAGGAAGAGAGCACCCAGGACCCCTCCTCAGTCCCCCTTCTTCCTCAAACCCCCTCCCCTTCCTACTAGCGCTAGTAGGGGCCACGAAACGTCGGAACGAAACCCACCAGGCTCACACAAGGACCGGATAGACGACCTCTTCTTCCCCTCCTCCTCAAACCGCCCCCCCCTCTCTCTTATGGCACCCAATTGGGTCATCAGAAGTCTGCACGACACCCCCCCCCCCCGCAGTTCAGAGACCACCGAGGACCCCTCGTTTCAGTCTAGGGCCAAGCCAGCCGGTTAGCTGGGGAAGGGGAGGGGGGGGTGTCTCCCAGGGGGCTGGACTCCAACTCCCATAATCCCCGGCCGAGCCTCCTGGGAGCTGCGGGAGGAGGAGGGGGAGGAAGGGGTGCCGGGACCCCCCCCTCCTCTCCCTCCCGCCGGCCCAGGGCTCTCCGCGCGGGGGTCGTTCCGGGCCGGGCGGGTGTCCTGGGCGGGCGTCCCATATCCGGCGCTGGCCCGGCCCCGGGGGCGGCGCGGAGGGACGGGCGGGCGGGCGGCTGGCGGGCGGCCGGACGGCGGAGCTGAGCGGCCGGAGCGGCAGCCGGGAGCCGAGGAGGCGAGGGCGACGGCCCGGCGGGGCTGAGGGCGCCCGATGAGCCTCAACGAGCACTCCATGCAGGCGCTGTCCTGGCGGAAGCTCTACCTCAGCCGGGCCAAGCTCAAAGCCTCCAGCCGCACCTCGGCGCTCCTCTCCGGCTTCGCCATGGTGAGCGGGCGGGAGTGGGGGGGAGGAAGGGGCCGCCGGGCCCGGGAAGGGCGAGGGGGCCGGTTGCAGAAGCGCCTGGGCCGGGGATGATGGGCCAGG